CCCTTGGATCCCTTCCTATCCTTAGGACCCCATCCCTCAGGACCCCACCTTTGAGCCACCGATGTTGCTTCCGCCGCCGTCCGCCAGACTTCCGCCGGCTGCCACCGTCGGGCCTGCAGCCGTCCTGCTTCCGCGGGTCCTCCGCCAGGGGCGACACGCGCCGAGGCCGAGGCCGTCTCTGGAAACGCCCCACGTGCTCTCTCCCAGGCCGGCCGCGCCATGTGTCCCCGCCTTGTCGGTAGGAAGTAAACAAGGAAAAGAGGGGGGAGGGAAATGAGCTTGGTGTGGCGGGGGGGGCGAACACGTTGCCACGTCAGGCTTCTCAGGCGAGCGTGTATTTTACAATCCGTCTGGATCGTGGGTTCTGTTCTTGCTGTAGGGTGCTGTCTGTGCATGGTACAAGCAAGCACCTTTGCAGCGTGGCGGGAGTAGCGGGGAAGGGACGGGGGGAGCACGATGGGGGAAGAAGAGGGGTAAGATGGGGATGCGGAGGGGGAAGGGGGGAGGGGACGGGGGAGGACGAGCAGGAGGCGGGGAGGGAGAGGAATTGGGAGGAGGAGCATGAGCATGAGCATGACCATATGACTAAGTCAGTGAATCCTCGACATCGCTATGCATTACTCTTGCGCCTGGTGGCTTTCTCGGCCTTGCTTAGGACCTTTGGCCACAAGCCTTGGGAGATTAGCCGCAGGTACTCGGCCCTGTGCGGTGTGGGAGGCGTCACGCACACACGACCCAGGGCCAGGAGCTGCTGCGACCCGTAGCTGCCACAGCCGACACAATACCACAACTTCAAATCACCATGAAACTGCATTCGATGACTGGGGTGAACATAGCCACCCGCGATATGTAGCAACGCGCCCTGGGGTTTACGAAAGAACACGCCATTATAATTGATCGGGGAGAAACATGGGGACCTGAGCCATTCCGTTCGGGTCGCTTTCGACGCCGATCCTCCGCACCTGGTGCACCTGCACCCAGTGCTGTCCACAGTGTGGGACGAAGCAAGAAGGGCGAGAGAGGCAGCAGCAGGAGGCGGAGGGCGAGGGGGGATGGCAGGACCTTTTTCCTCCTCGGCACACCTATCCTTATCTTCAGCTGCCATGGAGTCGAGAGTGGCTCGCAGAATACGCATCCTGACGAGCCTAGCCTTCCTCTCCTGTAGCAGCACTCTGTTACGGACCGCCTCTGCCAAGCGGGCTTCCTGAGCCGCTTGTCCAGCGATCTCGTCCACTATCAGGTTGCCTGCCACCATCCACCGAGGTGCCTTCCCCTCGACGATGTCAGTGGCAGACAGGTGTGAATTGACAAAAAGAACAGTGATGGCGTCCTGGGGCCTCTTCTTCAGCAGAATGCCCAGGCGCGCCCACAGGTCGGCGTCGTCGCCTGTGGGCGCTTCGAACTTGCGACAATAAAAACCTGATACAACCGATTCGCAATCTGAAATGAAAACAATGGAGCCTGTGGTCATCCAGACTGCCAAGAGCAACGCGCGCAACTCGCCTCGAGCAACAATCTGTCTGGGTCCCGCCAGCGGACCTCGGACAGTCGAGGCTAACTGCAGCTGAGGCTCTAGAGCACGCATGAACGCCACTGCGACACCTACTCTTCTGAAAAGCGGGCTGGCCGTGTCTGGCCCTCCACTTGCATCTCCAAAAGCAAAAAGCGGCGCCTGCGCCGACCCTCCTGCGACACAGCCCTCGACCACAGCTTCCCCGAACAGCTCCTCGGTGCCGACCCACGCCTCGGAATCACAAGGCGGCGGCACCTCTGTCCAGGGCGCTGGGATGAGGCCACGGAGCCAGAAGGCCTGGTCGGCCTCTCCCTGTGCGAGGGCCTGTGGGATCAAATCGTCCGACTCAGTGTGCGCATCTTTCTCGACGTTGCATTCACATAACCATATCCGATGCATCATGTCCTCTGGTGCAATCCTACAGCGCGGGCACACAACATCACCCGTGTACCTGCTCAGCTCATTTTTCTTGCGTTGCCGCGGCCAGCATCCGCCCGCTGCACATGCCGGCATGACCTCTGCCAAGCGATGGCCGTGCATTGGGACTGCTGCCAGCTGTTGCAACAAGATCTGGTATGACACACAATCGACGCCCTGGGACAGGTCAGCCCCGCAGAAGTGCTGACTCGCCTTCTGCCACAGGTTGTGCTTCAGGGTCTGCTTGAAGTCCATGATGAAACCCTGGTGTGAGTCCAGAGCTGCAATACCTGAGTACATATCATCGTCGAATTTCCATGTGTCCCCTGCAGCTGGATGACTAACAGGGAGGTCCCATGCTGCGGCCTGCTGCGGGTCCCAGCCTGCCTCCATCAGGTGCAGGACGGTGGCCGTGAGAGGGCCCCTCACATGGCGCACTCGCTGCGCGGCTGGCAGCTCCTGCATGTGCCTGTAGACGTTGTCCCACGCCTGTCGCACACCAGCTCGTAGCTCGGGTTGCTCTCTCCAGGTCCGCAGCCACAAGTCCAGGGTCTCGACTGGTAGCTTGATCGCTGGGTCGAGATCCCCAGCCCGCAGGGCCAGCAGCGTGGTCAGGCAGCGGCCCCGTGTGGGCGCCGCCACAGCCTGCCCCAAACGCCGTCGGGCCAGCGTCATCTTGGCGCCAAAGGTGCCATAGGCCTGGTGCCCGTGCACCCCTGCTGCCTGCGCCCCCTGCTTCTCGAGCCTACCCGTAATCCGATACTTCTTCGACACGAACGCATACCTTCGCACCTTGCCACTCATGGCCTTGTGCTTGGCGTCCCTCTTCACCCTCGTTTCGCGTGCCATCCTTTTGCCCCCGCCCAGGTCTACCCCCAAGTAGGTGGCCTGCTTGACTGGCTGCACAGAGTACCCTGCACGAGCCACTCGCTTGGCGACCCATTGAGCGTCCTGGAACGACGAGCAGATGATAACCGACTTGGTCGCGACCTTCAGCTGCTTGGCCTTCAGCTCCTCACAAGTATTGATGACACATGCCGCCAATTCTTTACGCACAGCAGCTCGAGATCCCCGTACTGACTGGGACAGGTCGTCGATCCAGATACGATGCCCCATTCTCGGGTGGGCAACTGTGATGACCTCCAGCACGTAGTGAGTCATGGCCTTGGCGAAGCGCGTTCCAGCCCTGAGGCCCTGGACCACGCTCCGAGACGGCTGAAAAGCCCGCGTCGATGCACCAAGCTGGCTCAGCGAGCGAGCTGCGACGCACTGCAACAACTCAAGGTACAACACTTGCGGTGGGAACTCGAGCGCCAGCGCACAGGAGGCCAGCGGTGCCCACTCGATGGAGTCATAGAACGACTGAATGTCAACGAGGGCCTCGCCCGTGGCGACTCCAAGGTGATGAGACACCTCCTGCTGCAACACGCGCACGAATGCCTCGCGGAGGCTCGAATTCCCCCTGATAGCTGCGTCCCAGTGAGCTTCTGCCGATGCGGACCAACTGCGCACGTATGGCTCACGGATAAGACTCCATAGCCTGCCCACCATCGATACAAGTCCAATGATACGATCTCCATTTGATTTCTTAGACAGAAGGCGCCCTATAATCAGAAGGATTTGTCCTGGCCATACAAGATGATACTCGCATGCTTGATACAGCAACACAAGCTCGGCGAGTGCCTCGTCGGGGAGGCGCTCGAAGTCGAGCGGACTCAGCATATCCACCCCCATGCCAGCACGTCCCTTCATCTTGCGAAGGGCACCTCTCACTTCCGAAATTGAAATATCTGGCAATGACTCCGTGGCAGCAGCAGCTTGAATCTTGGCGAAGGTCCGAGAGATTTCGTCTTCGTCCAAAGCTGCTGGTGCCCACAAGTCGTGCCACAACTTAGCTTTGTGGTCTATCATATCACGTGGGTGAAAGAGAACTCTATCTTCAAGAACCGTGTCCAGGCTCGGCAGAGCCTGCGGATTGAGGGCCTTGTGTAGGGTTCCCACGGCACCATCCTCACCCATAAAATCCTTGAGCTCATTGACACTTTCCTGAACAGCTCTGCGTTGGGCTCTCGCCATGATCCTCCTGGAGCTGTCCTCGAAGCTCGCGAGCACCGGCGTGACCACGTCGTTCGCACTGCTCAGAATCCTCTCCCACTCAGCCCATGGCGGATCACGCCCGTCGAGTAGGACACGCTGAACATGCTCAGGCCGATCCGCCAGGTGACGTATAAGACCTTGCACGTAGCGCTCGACTTGCAGAGCCCCATTGTCCTTCGTCCTGTGCAACACTAGGCCCACGAGCAGCACGTTGACTTGCGTCCACCACCCGCTGACCTGATCCCGCAGCGGCGTCGCACGTACCTTCTGCGGGAGCTTCACTGTGGTCACCGTGAACCTGGGCCCCGTGGCTCTCGAAGGGCCTCGCGGCAGGTCCACTCCATGATGAGACGTGATGGTGGATTCGACAGCAGACACCCAGGAGGCGTAGAGGCCTGAAATAGTCTCAAGCTCAACAGGCTTGAGCCGAACGGCTACGGATTGACGCAGAGCAGGAGCAAGAGACTGAAGAGTGGCTGCCCCAGAAATGAACCCTACATCACGCCTACATCTAGTCCACAGATCAGTTGGGATAGCGAACGACGGGGCCCCTCCAGAGCCTTCCCCATCCAGCCCAAGCCCCAGAGGGCCTCCTGCCCCAGAGGAGTCCAGGGTCTGCGGCTGAGGATGGCCAAGAGCAGGAGCCGCAACGCTCGAAGGCTCCACCCCAGACTGCTCGGCCACTTCAGGCACACCTCTGGAGACCTCGTGAGACCTGTAAGGGGGCCCAGGCTGGGAATTACTTAGCATACTAGCTTGCTCATCATTTACTTCAGACGCTGCAGTGAGAGCGGGGAGGAGGGAGGAGTCAGGGCAGAAAGATAATTCTTCGGCCCACGGGTCTTCCTCCTCAGGCCACTCGTCAAAATTGTAAGGGTCATTGAACTGCTCCCCAATCCCTGCGACCGACTGGTCATTTTCCCCAAGACCGTCAGCCACGGAGATCGCAGCAGCGGATTGCTCGTTCTGCCAGCAATCCTCGAACAAAGAAGAAAACTTAACGGCTCGCTTCTCGACAGCAAGCTGATGTTGCACCCTACGCGAAGCTTTAGCCAAGCTAGACTTTGACCTAACAGTGGCTTCTTTACACGGCCGAGGAACCTGTGGGAGGCGCCCAGGGGTCTCTAAAATCCTTGTCCAGAGCTGGTCCCCAGACCTACGCAAGACAATTTCTAGCCCTATGTGCGGCCTCCAAGGAACCGAAATGACAGGCCTAATATCGGCAACGAAAGGTACTGCTGATTGACTGCACAGAAGATAATCAATGACAGTGCCCGAGCCAAGATTACACGTCGCAGCTCCTTTTGCCTGCAACACTACTGCGTGCAAACGACTGACAATACCTGACCTCTCAAGCTGCTGAGGGGTCATGTTGAAGTCCCCTGCTACGATCCAGGGGAGCTGAAGAGACCAGAGGAGCCCCGCCAACCTCTGAAATCTGCCCAGGTTGGCTCCTCGGGGCCCTAAACAACTATGCGCATAAAAGCTGATCATAATCATACTGAAGCCTGAAAAATGAACGACTGTGGCGATGAAGCCATCAAAACAAGACGGATGGAGCGGCGCAGACAATCTACTCACTGAAAGCCATGCGGCTGGGAGTCGATGCGTCTGCAGGTGCCCCTTTGAAAGGAACCACTCGCCGCCCTCATTGGAGTGCTCCATCAGCGACCCCCTCTTGGTACCGACAGCAGCCGTCGCCTTCGACGAAGGCCTCGCAGGATTGGTGAACAGCCTCAGGCCCTTACCCCGAGCCTTGGCGTCATATTGACGGAGAGTCTTGGCGTCGTGGACGTGAGACTCAACCACACTGATGAAGTCGAAAGATTTGGACACAAGCCAATTCCAGCACTTCTCCCCCATGCACGTGACGTTAGCATAGAACCAACGGCTATGCTCCCCTGCCGCCTCCTCTGGCGGCTCCGATGTCCTCGACGTCATACCAGATAGTCAAGAACTGGCGTCGCTCTGGGAGGCTGCGAAGCCCTTGCCGTTGCTCTTGCCATTCAACTTCTGCGCCTCTGCGATGAACTTGGCATCCGACAACCGTTTGGCCTCGTCCGCGATCTGCTTCTCCTTCACTGCCTGGGCCTCCTTGACCTTGGCCTCTGCCGCGGCGGCGTCCGCACCTGCAGCTGCGGCCACGCCATGTGGAACTCCTCCTGGAGAGCCTGCTGCCGCCGCCTTGGGCTGCTGGCCGCCGTCGCCATTCTCGCCGCCCGCCATGGCCTGGCCGTCGGCCCCACGCCTCTTCTTGAGGAGGCGCTGCTCGATGTCCTTCTTCACAGACTCCATCTGCTCGAGCCAAGCCTTGACCTCGGCCTCCTTGGAGGCCATGGCGCCCCGCGTGGCCTCCAGGTTCTTCTTGAGGCCCCGCAAGGCCTCACGCTCGTGCTCCTCGCACTCCATGTTCTCGATCTGGTCGAAGAACTTGCAATCCCAGCTGATGTGGAAGATGGGCTTGTCAGCGGCTGGTCCGTCGGCAGCTGTAGTCGCAGAGATGGTCTCGACGCCCTCGGCGTGTGCCACCGCCTGCGCTGCTGCCTTGCGGGCCATTGTGGCCTCCGCCACTGCTCGTGCCGCCGACGACTCCTTCTCCTCTGCCACCGCGAGCTGCTTCCGCAGCCGCAGCACATGTGAAACTTGTTGCGAATGCCGATGCTCCGCATCTTTGCAAACTCCCTCAGCTCGCCGAAGTGCTTCCACGAGGGATGGCTCGTTCTTGGGCTTGGCCTCTGCGACCAGCCTGTCCACCTGCTTGCGCAAGCATCCGATGAGCTCCTGGTCCTGTGTCGCCTTCAGCGCCTGGTCCAGGATGGCTGCAACGTCCGCCTCTGCGCCGCCGTGGCCACCCTTGTTGTTGCCGCGGCCCTTGCCACTGCCCCACTTGGTCCCTCGCGGAACCACGAGCTCCTCCTCACTGTCCGACACGTCGAAGGTGACTCGCCGAGTTTTGAACAATGGAACTCGAGAGCCACACCCCCGGCAGGAACCTCCTGCCTTGTTCAGCTCGGCGTTGTACTCGCATACTCCGCAGTCGGGGCACCTGCTCCACGGACCACGATTCCTCCGCGCGACGGAGGATCCCCTAGCCATTGCTTCTCCCCTGCTTTGGTCGAGATCTGGCGCTGTGTTCAGAGAATGGTGCGCGCCCAAATCTAGTCACTCAAGTGCCTCGGTGCGGCACAGGGGAAGGAGGCCAAAACAAAATGACTTGACCCCCAATACTTGAGGGAATTGGGAGGAGGAGGAGGAGGAGGAGGAGGAGGAGGAGGAGGAGGAGGAGGAGGAGGAGTAGGAGGAGAAGCAGGAGGAGGAGAAGGAGGAGGAGGAGGAGAAGGAGAAGGAGGAGGAGGAGGAGGAGGAGGAGGAGGAGAAGGAGGAGGAGGAGGAGAAGGGGGGGACGAGGAGGAGGAGGGGCAGAGGAAACATTGATTGGGAAGGTAAGGGTCAGGGAAAGAGGGTTCGAGAAGTGCAGGAGAGCGGCAGGAGGGTGAGGAGATGAGGCGACGGGAGCATAAGGGGCAGGGATAGGAGAGGGAAGAGGGGAAGAAACGGAAAGGAGGGTTACATGGTCGATTCTGGAAACCCTGGACCCAGACCTTTTGACCTCGCATTTGTACTCCCGTCGTCATCCACCCACCAACGAACCCGCGCCGTTGTGCTTCCGCCAGCTCCTGCCGAGGGCGAGACGCTCAGAAGCCGAAGCATCTCTGGAAAGCCCTAGGTGTTTGTGTGTGTGTGTGTGTTGTGTGGGGGACAGGAAGGAGAAAGAGAGGGGGAGGGGGAATGAGGGGGGGAGGGAGGGGAAACGAGGAGAAGGGCCTGCAAACGGTAAGCGTCAGGGCAAAGCCGATGAGCACCTGCACGGCCTCGCCACTGGCCTTCCCGAGGATCTAAAAAAGCGCTGCTCCCCCTCCCCTCCCCCTCCCCGCCTGGCTGCCTAGCTCCTGCTGCTGCTGCTCCTCCTCTCCTGGTGCCTCACCCCCCCCCCGAGCCCACTGTGCTTCGCCAGCTGCCCCGCCGCCCTGCAGAGCAGCAGCACCACCCGGCAGAGCAGCCCCACTGCGCCTCCAGCAGCAGTCGCGGCTGTGGCGCCCGCCCTTCGCCAGTCGTGGCCTCCGTCTCTCTCGGCCACCCCGTGCTGCGCGGGCCCCGTCCCCTCCCCGCACGCGGTCGCGCCTCGGCCTCGGCCCGTCGCCCGGGGGCGCGATGCCCAAAGGCCCCCCCCCCTCGCCAGCTCTAAACGGACGCCCCCCCCCCTCGATCTCCAGTCTGTCGAGCGCGGCCACTGGCGCATCGGGGTGCCAAGCTGGCCAGCGGCCGCCCGCCGGGGCGGCCAGTGGCCGCTGGCCACTGGCCATCGGGGAGCCCCGGCGGGCGGTTCCCCACTTCAGAGGCCCGCCGAGCGTGAGCTCGCGCTGCTCTGGTGGCTGCGCGCAGAGGAGGGCCCGCAACCATGGCGCAACCGATCCGTACGGAAGCTCGTGGCGTATAGGACATGATGCCCTTCCACACATGGGGAAGAGCAGCCAGATTGCATGGCGTGGAACTCGTGCAACTGACACTGTGTGATCCACCAAGCTGTCGATGGAAACAGACGCCACGGCAGTCCGAGGCGACGAGGGAGCCCAGGAGCCCAGGAGACCCGGAGCGCTCAAACAAGCATTCCTACCGCCAATGCCATCCGAAGACGGCGAGTGCGGCAAGAACGCGACCTCCGCGGGGATGGACGGGCAAACACCCGACGGCCCCCCATGAGTCGCCGCGACCAGAAGGAGCTGGCCATCGCCCCAAAGGCCCCACGCACCCACACCCAACCAGAAAACGAGCCGAGTCCAGCAGGGTGGGCCCCAACAGCTCCGAGCCACTAGGCAACATGCTCAACAAAGTGGGTCGGCGCCTCGCGGCTCGAACAGCGGAGGCCTAGCTGCGCGCTCGGCAACGGCTCGGGCCAATCGCGCCTCAGACTGCGCTGTGCTCAGCCCAGCCACGTCTTCTTCCTCGGCAGCCTTTCTCCGCGCCCTGCGCGCACCCTGGCCTCTGCGCTTCGGCTTCACGGAGCGGCCGTCGGCGGAATCGGCATGCCTCGGGCTATGGACGTCGCTGCCAATAGAGCTGACACCGACCGCAAGCGCCGTGGACTGGACCTGAACGCACTCCAACTTCATGCCGTTTATCGGTATGTCCTGCAGCTCATCGTCCTGCTGGGGTGGATGCGAGCGAAGGGGCAGTCGTGCTCAGCGTCCTCGCCCACCAGCTCGAGGCCCGTCTGCTCAACAGACCTCAGCCTCTTGCCGTCTAAACTCTCCAGCTGCTGTACATCATACGTACTCGTCTGACATGTCGGTGACGTAGAGAATCTACAGGCCCTTCTCCCGCAACATGTCAAGGCCAAACGACACGGGCACGGCAACGATGCTCTTGCCCGTGACGTGGTAGATTTCGTTCTGCCCCTCCTGCATGCGGGTCACGTGCTCCTTCGAAGTGCTCGTGTTGGCTCCAGTATTCGAGGTGTGGCAGCGCATAAGCTCCGCGACCTAGAGACGCTTGGCGGCATGGTGTGTGCTACTGGCCCCGCATGGACGCGGAGCGCCCGTCAATACTAATTGTGAGCTCGTCCCTGTCCTAGCACGTGTCCGTGCTCTCGACGGCGTGCTCCAGGACTGGCTGTTGATCAGCTGCACGGCTGAACACCACCGCCTCCACATCAATCGGCAAGACCCCCAACTTATCCTCGAGCTCCTGGATGCGGAACCTGTCGACCATCAGCTTCCCGTACAACTTCGGCTCGTGCCGGTCAGCCACCATGCTCGCAACACAATCCTTGCCAACCTGCGCCAATTTCATACTCAACCATGTGCCATCGCCCTCCACGATTCGCCGCCCCTGTGCACCACATCCGCGCCCGCTGTTAGGCTGTCCACCTTCCGCCTTCCGCGTGCGCTCGGGCGCCTCGACCTCCGAGGCCACGCCAGAGCCCTTGCTGACGAAACCAACGTGGGACTTCAGACCATCGATCGTGTTGGACGTTCCACCATTCGCCAACGCAGCACGCACTCCCTCAGGCACGGCAGCTCCATGATGAGCCACCGCTCGGCGGCCTGCTCGGTCGACCTCCCACTGCTTGGCCAACGGGTGCTGGCTGGTGGAGCGGAGAGCACGTCGAACCTCGTTCGCCTTGCCCTGCCCACCCAACCAGGAGAGCCCAGAATCGAATCGATAAGTCGGATCGGCGATCGAAATCAATCGGATCGGCGGAAATCGGCAGCCGACGGCGGCCATCGGCAGTTTAGTGGGCCTCCATTGCAACATCGGAGCCCACATCGGTATCCAAAGTCGAACCGAATCGGAATCAGACGCACGCCGAACCTCCTCCGTGTTCGCCTTGCCCTGCCCCTGCCACCCAGCCTGCTCGAACGTCCGTCGAAGCCCTCCAGCATGCTGCACGCCGCGCAGGGCACCTTCCCCTGACGGCTGGAGCACACGGCCTCACGAGCAGGCGCCTCCCACTGCGCAGCAGAGCAACGGGCCCTGCATCGCACGCCGCACGCTCGAGGCCTAACACCGCGCTGAGCACCGCCGCCAAGGGCAACCTTTGTGGTGCCCTGGGCGCCATGCGTCCCATCACGCCCGCAGCGAGCCATGAGGATCAAGCAATCTTGGATAAGACAAGGATCGCGAGGAACGGAAGCGTAACAGAGTGGGTGGGTGTGCACCCCTGGGCCCCCAACCCAACCCGCTCGAGCCCACATGCCTACGAAGCGCGCAAGGGGAGGAGGAGGAGGATGAGGAGGAGGAAGAGGAGAAGGAGGAAGAGTAGGATGAGAAACGGAGGAGACGGAGCAGGACGAGGAGGAGTAATTAGGAGGAGGAGGAAGAGGAGGAGGAGAAAGAGGAGGAAGAGAAAGAGGAGGAGGAGGAGGAGGAGGAGGACGAGGAGGTGGTGGGTTCCGGGCGAAAGCGTGCGCGACCCGCTGGGCCTCTGCCCAAAGGGGACAAGTTCACTGGACGCTGGCGGTTTGTGCGCTCCAGACGAAGCGATTACATGTTATGCGTGCAGTTGCAGCAGGGACATCATCATGATGATGAGGGCCATGAGCCGCTCGTGTGGCAGAGCGATGGATGCACATCGAACGCTGGTCCTCCGCATTCGCATCCGATCGTGTCTCCTCGCATGACCATCATCATGATGAGTGGTGTCATGACGCTCTGGTGTGGCACACTGGTGTCAAGACACGCTGCAGTGCCAATGATGTACGACAGGGGGTCCTAATCCAACACCAGTCCATTGAAAGGTGACCCCCCGCATGTGTATCCAGTCGTGTATCATCACAGGACCATCGTCATGATGAGGGGTGCCATGACGCGCTGGCGTGGTATATCGATATCATGACACGCTGATGAGGAGTGCCATGACGCGCTAGTGTGACATATCGATCTCATGACACGCTGGTGCGCCAAGAATACGCACCGTGGGCCCTACTTCGCAACCGATCCCAGAGACGTTGTAAGACCGTTCGGCACCCTGACGGGCAATCTGGACGGGAAGCCGTTCCAAGGGCGAATTCGTGGTCGTCTCCCTCTCAGTGCTACAACGACACAACACCGCGCTTCGTGGGTCGACACGCACTTCGCGTGAGCTACACGCGCCGTTTTACCATAACCGAACTTTTCAACAAGTGAGTTTTCTCAAAGCAAGATAGCGCACAATTCTGGCGATGCTCACCACACGACATCACCAATCTCGATGCGCGACCCCTTGATGCCAACGCTCCGTTCCACAACGCGCGAATTCGCACCTTTTACCTTCCACGAACCGCAATTATTTCTTACACTCGCTAGCAAGATCCCCCAAGACAGCTGCATGCATCAGGCTGCTCCATTTCTTTCCTCCCAGACGGCAGAAAAGGTCGCGCACAAGCGCGCCCGGGGCGAGGAGGTGGAGGAGGAGGAGGATGAGGCGGAGACAACGGAGGAGGAGGAGGAGGCGGAGCAGGAATAGGAGGATCATGCGGTCGAGGAGGAGGAGGAGAAGGAGGAGGAGGAGGACCAGGAGGAGGAGGACCAGGAGGAGGGAAAAAGAGAGAGGGAGAGGAAGAGGGAGAGGGAAAGAAGGAGGAGGAGAAGGACGCGGAGGAGGAGGATCATGATGATGATGCTGATGATGACGATGATGATGATGATGATGATGATGAGGAGGAGGAGGAGGAGGAGGAGGAGGAGGAGACGGAGGAGGAAGTGGAGAAGAAGGAGGAGGATGAGGAGGAGAAGGAGGCGGAAAAGGAGGAGGGAGACAGAGAGAGGGAGAGGGAGATGGAAAGGGAGAGGAAGAGGATAATGATGAGGATGAGGAGGAAAAGGAGGAGGAGGAGGAGGAGGAGAGGAGGAGGCGGAGGAGGAGGAGGAGGAGGGGGAGAAGGACGCGGAGGATGATGAGGAGGAGGGGAGTAGGAGGAGGAAGTGGAGAAGAAGGAGGAGGAGGAGGACGAGGAGGAGGAAAATAATGAGGGAGACAGAGAGAGAGGGAGAGGGAGATGGAAAGGGAGAGGAGGAGGATGAGGATGAGAGGAGGAAAAGGAGGAGGAGGAGGAGGAGGAGGAGGAGGAGGAGGAGGAGGGGAGGAGGAGGAGGAGGAGGAGGAGGAGGAGGAGGAGGAGGAGGAGGAGGAGGAGGAGAGGAAGAGGAGGGGGAGGAGGATGAGGAGGAGGAGGAAAAGGAGAAGGGAACGAGAGAGAGAGAGGGAGATGGATAGGAGGGGGATGAGGATGAGGATGAGGTTCACCGCCCATAGAGGGGGAGGGGTCAGGGGGGAAGAGAGGAAGATTGGGGTGGGGGCGCCCATCAGACGAGAACTTTTTGTTCCCGCCCGAGGCTGTGACCCACCTCGGGCGGGCCCAGCCGACAGCCCCCCCCCCCTCAGAAACTCACACTTCAGCCTCTGGGTCCGCGGCACCCGCCGCCCTGGCCTGGGCAGAATCTCGATCAAGGAGCGTCTGCCGACCAAGCTCTTCAGCCTCCTCTCTGGAGCTGAAGCCAAAAGCGAGCAGCACGGAATCCAAGCCTAGGCGAGGGGCCACAGCTTGCTTCGAAAAAGGGACGACTCTCGGCGCTCTTGGAGCCGCGGCCGCCCCACCAGGGCCCCCCCCCGAAATGCCTGGAGAAACGGCCCCTGGTCTCCACGGGCGGGGCCTCCGAAGGCCCAAGCGCCACGAGAGGGTGCAAAACGGAATGAAAACCTTCTTTCAGCCTCTTTCGGACAGTGTACGCTGACCCACCCGAGAGCTTCTTGGGCCCCTTGCAGACACCCACAAGACCACGCTGCATCGGGGTGGTCGCATACTGCAAACACGACGGGCAACACATAATCGGGGAGTCATTGGGCACCGTACTCTGCACCGCGCAGTGCCCATTCACTCTCCAGGGCTGAACGCCCTTGTCTAGCAGCCAGTCGGGGTCCTCTGAGGCGGGCCCTGGAGGTTCCGCCGCAGCAGCACAAGCAGGAGGCTCAGGAGGAGGGGGGGCCGCGTCTATGGACTCCGCCTCAGGGACCTCTGGGACCGACCAACCGTGGTAGTGCCTAAGCCCCAGGTCGATTTTCTCGAGGTACTCGACCCCGACATTGCCCCGAATTTCTGCCGAGGCCATCGAGGCCGCAAGCTGGGCCGAAAACTTGGCCGCAAGATTGGCAATCAACTGGCATCCTTCTACCAGCTCTACGTCACAGACGGCGGCTCTGGCCTGGGCCGCACCTCTCTCGGCGAAGCTATCTGCAGCATTGTTGCCGTCTCTGTCGAAAGGCGAAATCCGGTCACTCTCAACGCTGGCGGCCGACGTGCGGGCCTTTACGTGCTCAAACGACCGAGCACGGAAATCTTCGCGCGCATGCACCCGCCTCCACAGGTGGGCTCGCGGGTTGCACTCCGAAATCGACAACCTAGGCGACTGGCAGCAACTTAGTGTACCCTTGCAGTCTGCCCGCACAGTGAACTGACCCATAACATTCTGGGCGCACATCAGCATAGCATAGTCTTCGCCATCTCTGGCCGTGCCAGAGATGCCGATGTCAAGCGGCACTGCTCCAAAAATCGCTCCGACGTAGCACCTGTCGGAGTCATGCAGCACCACGCTCCAGCCTGCAACTCTGAGGGATGGGTGGTGCTGGTCTAGGCCCGACCCATCAGTGAAGACGGACCCTCCTTCCAGGAGGATTGGCAGCTGGAGGGCGCCGTGCACCCGCAACCCCCAGCTTGGATTGAAAGGTGGTCTCCCCACGCACTGGCCAGGCTCAGGAAACAACCCCCTCGCGAACCTTTCCTTCCAAGCTGGCGGACTCTGCCTCACTCTGTCGACCGATCTGGCCAACTCCGCGGGCATGCAGTCCCGTCGAAAAGCATCGTGCGCAGGGCAGGCATAGCAACGGTGAAACATGGTTCCCCGAGCTCCTTCGCACAGTTGGCACACCTCTGGGAGAGACGGCTCCTGGTCGTGAAGCCTGCCCTGGGTCCAGTGGGACCCTGAAACCAAGCCCCGAAGAGAGTTCTGTTCGTGGCGGCCCCAGGCCTCCGCCCAGTCACAAAACATCAGCTCAAGCAGGGGCCTCCGGCAAACGTCGGTGACCCAGGCATCGTCCTGCAGGCTTAGCGCTCGGACGTCCGAGGCGCGTCGAGCCGCGAACGAAATCTGAGCTGCGATACAGGCAGGCGAGTAAAATCGCAGATCCCAGTCGACCCCCCGATCGTCCACCAAAGTCACCGCATCCCGAAACCGCCATCCCACCCTCTGGGCTGTTATGGCCGCTGCAGCCACTGGGTCCCTGCAGGTTACCCATGGCCGCTCGGAGGCAGCATTCTTGTTACCAGCAATCACCAGCGCCTCCAGGACCGCCCTCGAGAGCTGTCCGTCGGAGAGCACTTCGCAATACTGGCGAATCGAGTCCGTCGTCGTTAAAATCAGCGGATCTCGCCTCCAACCTTTACGCCCACTGCCCAGGAACAGCCCGACCGAAGACCCCCTCGGGAATCTGCCTTCCGCGTGGGCCGTCAAAACTCGCAGCCCGTGGAGCCTCGTGTCTCCTAGGCCGTGGACACAGGAGCCCCACATGGCAACTGCCGTGGGGCCTGAACGGTGGATGCGAAAAATGGTCGCGCCAGCTCCTTGCAACGTGCGCAGCTTGATCGCGCGCCTCTTTGCCGCAAGGTGTCGTTCGAGGTGCGTGGAGACTCGACGAAACCGCCCGTCCGACGCATCCCCCCCCAGATCTCTATGAGCTGACTCTCGGCTGGCAGCCAGCTGTGGGGGCAGCTCAGCCATCAAGGCAGACGCAAGCGTATTGGTGTTGGCCAGCACTCCAGCCTTGTTCCGCGAGATCGGCAGCTTGCGTGCCTGCACATCGGCAGCAACAATGTTGACGGCGCTGGCTACCTGCCCTGACGCCGTGGCCTCGCCCCCAACAGCATGGAAAGACACGTCGTCTACAACATTCTTAATCTTGACTATCGGAGCCTCTAGGTGCGCCCTCTTCAGCACAACCAGAAGCAACACTTTGGCCAAGGAGGTCGCGCAGGAGCACCCTGCTACAACCGTGCCGTTCGGTTCCAGAGGTTTCCCCGTGACCCCCTGGAAAACGGCCCTTCTCCCGGCCCGATAAACGCAGCACAAGCCCCTCAAGAGGCTGTCGGGGAAGCCCACGTGGGCCGCCGCGGACCTGAGTTCTTGGTGAGAGATGTTTTCGTACAACAAAAGGCCGAGCCCGACGCCAAGTGCCGCAACCTGGCGAACGCCGAAAGATCGTTGTGGAGCCACGCGCTCTTGTCACAAGAGGTGGCCCTGGACTGGCCCCAGAAAAGGTCCGAAGTGTTCTCCCTCTCCCAGGCGCTACACACCCTCTGTGGGACCTTGGACCAGACCCGAGCGAGCAAAGGGAGCAATCCGATCGGTCTCACTCCGCCTGTGGGCTTGTCGAGAAAAATGATCAAGATCTCGTTCCCATGCGTTCAAAAGGTCGGCAAATCGCTGTGCCGCTTCAGGGGGCAGTTGGAGCACCAGCCTCGGGTGGAATCCGCCCCGCCCCAAGGCCGAGCCCTCGGCGAAGCGCTTGCACGCGGAGCGTAAATCATCGGGCGAGATCGGCTCCAGAAAGCTTGAGACCTCCCAGGACGACGGGTGCTCCTCACTGGCCCTCGAGGCCTGGGTCCAAATCGGGACCCACTCGTCCAAAAGCCTGCCGAGGGCCGCGTGGCCCGCCAGAGGAATCCCCCCCTCTTCCGCGGGCCCAAGGACGGGCTCAGGCGCAGGCTTGGGGCCCTTGCTGAACCTGTGAGCGATGCGCCCGCCCCTGAGCACTGAAGACTGAGCGAATTCTTGCCAAGCCTGCCTGGCCTGCGACGCATCGCTGGCTAGCCTGGTACCTACCTCCTGGGCAAGGGCGGCAAAGAGGCCTGGGCACCTGTCGGGATCCTGCAGACCTTCCAACAATTCGCGACCAGAGATGGAGCTTAGCGCCTCGGCCTCCGCCGAAGTCAAACAGGGGCTGACCTGATCGAGAACCTCCAAGAGCCCCCCCCCCCAAGTCACCCCCGTCCGACCCCCTTTCTTTTTGGTCAGCCCTAACAGCTGCGACAGCACTCGTCGGAGCTGCAGCCGCTTCGCCGTGCTGGCCGTCGAGCGACGCGTAAGCTCGCGGCCCCAGGCTGCGCGGAGCGGCATCAGTTGAAACTGGCATCCCTGCGCTCGGCCTGAGTGCTTGGCCACGTCCCCTGCTGGGATCTGGTGCGAGCTGATCGAGAAATCTTCTGCAGCTTTAAACCATTCCTTGGCCGCCTCAAGGGGCCTCGGAGGAAGGGGCCCAGCTTCCCCAAACCAGCCACTTCCTGAGAGATCGGGCCCTGGGATCATCGATCCGTCTGGATCGGTGGGCGGGTCAAGCGGAAAATCACAGGGCACAACGCGCTGCCACACTTTAGCAGGGCCCGATAAGCCTTTGAGCCCCAGGGAAACCGCGACGCGTGGGCCTCTGGGCGTATCCAAAAGCGCCTGGACTCTAAAAACACACGGGAGGAGACGCTGCGAAATCATAAAGTAGTCAAAGATATTGCTATTGCAGTTGCCATCCTCAGGCGCAACAGACTGCAAATGCCAACGGCCTGGCCAGTCAGAGGCCACGATCTCGTCAACAGGAATGTTCCAGTCGCCGCCGACCACCACAGGCCACTCCGATGCCGCAATGAACTCGCCCAAGATTGCCAGCAGGTCCTGGTTTCTCGGGCCCAGGCCTTCGTTCGTCGCCAGGTAGGCCGAGACGAAAACCATCTGGACATCCGACGTCGCTGAAACCAGCTGGGCGACCAGGCGATGCCTCACTCTCTCAGGGAAAGCCTCCTCCAAGGACCTGGCCCCGACCGAAGACCGCGACAGCATTGCCACTCCACCAGAGTGCTCCAGGGCCCCGTCGCCTGTGACTGCGGCCGCCCC